AACAGAAGGCAGTATGTGCTCTTTAAACCATGTCTACTACCATCAGTGAAGATGGTGGAGGATTCATGCAGGATTCATGCTTGAATGCTTCTGCAGTGGGGTTTATTTTGAGCCTCTTTACTTCACAGACGTCAATATCACTCCATTTATGTTGAAATGGCTCTTCAGATTGATGGCGAGTGTGTTGAATATGGTTCTTTATAGCACCAAAAAGGGTTCTGCTATTGTTACAAGCCTATAATTGCACTAATACTTGTCTGAGAAATAACAGTAAATTGTTCCGTGAAGTTCCTTCTAACATTTTGCAAACCTGCACGCAGAAAAATGACGTCTGGAATTGCGCAGTCCATCCACTGTTCGGATGGAATTCTTGTGTGTGAAAGCAAACCAGCGATAATGAGCCCCTCCCCCAAACGAGCCCAGAATCGGTCCTGAGTGCGGACTCAGGTATTCGGGACAAGTGTGAAAATGTCCTTAATCTAATACAGCTTTCCTCATAAACTCTGGACAGTAATTCTGTTGTGCTTAGATTTGTTTTTCATTTCCTGTTTTTTAGGTCTTACTGTCCTAAACAGTAATCTGTACCCAGACAAAACAGAAATCTCCTCACATCAATAATGAGACAGCAGAGCATCACTCAAAGAGATTAAACAGTGCTGTAATCAGATCCTTGTTTGGTCTGAGTGCAAAAAACCTGCAAAGTTTCTGTGTCTGGGCTGACAGTTATTTACAAATCGCAAATTACATTTACCCCTCAATCTCACCATACAGATAAAACCACATCATCAGAGACATCTGTACAGTCAGTTCATCACAGAATGCAGCATGGCTCTGCTCTCTCTCTCTCTCTCTCTCTCTCTCTCTCTCTGTTTGTCTCTAACTGTGTGAAAGCAATTAAAAATAAAACGTCTGATTGTGTATTAAGTAATTAGTATGAGTACCAGTGAAATATATCACAGTAAAGAAAATCAAAGTCAGATAAACTGCTGTTGTTGAGAATGATTTTAATGGTACACACTTTAAAAATAGATGGTTCTTCAAGGGTTCTTTAGTAAAGAAAATGGTTCTATATGGAACCATGAACACTCAAAGTACTATTTGCATGGTTAAACGGTTCTTTGCATCTTATAAGCGTTCTTCAGATTGATGGATAATATACTGTGGATGGTTCTTTATAGCACATTTTTGAAAATGGTTCTATATGGCACCCAAAAGGGTTCTGCTATTGTTACAATGTCAGGCTTATAACAAAAGAAGAACAGGTATCAGTAAATTTATACAGTTTGAAGGCAGTGTATGTAATGTTTACTGTCCCTAGATGTGAGCTAACATTCATGGAGCTGACAGGCAGCAGAGCTGTCAAGAAATTATGAATTAAGTAATCTACCTGTTATTTTACTCAAGTAATCTGTGTTTTATACATACTTAATTAAACAGTAACAAACTCTGCACAACCATTTAGGGATTCTAAACTATTTTGTCGGAAACAGATAAACTGAAGCGTTATGTAATCATTTAACCATGAAACGCATGTAGTTTTATGCAAACCTTATGCCTTATACAGTTCACTGAAAGATGTGTAAATATGCACTAGTGAGACACTGATCAGTCTCAGCACTCAGAACTTTTTTCTCATGTAATATCACGTTTGGCATTAGTTTTGTCTGATTATTTTTATTATTACAGATATTTTCATCGATGTAGTCGAGTCAACTTAGAAACATCTTCCAGGTTGTGATTGAGGATACACAAAAAGAACCTGATTATTCAAGCAGTTTTCCAACAAACTATTTTGTCTTTTGCTAATGCTTTTACATGTACTCCAGTACACTTTTTCTACAGTAACAGTACTTTTACTTAAGTAGGTATTTTCAGTACTCCTACCACCACTGTTTATATTCTTTTTTTGGACTGTTATAAGTTAGACATTTAAAATAAAGTCGGGGCATTACGTTCCTCCCAGAAAATGAACAAAACCAAGACAGCAGCAGTCAGCTGACTTATCTATCAAGTATAATCTTTCATTTGTAAATAAACTCTGAATACTTTAAATAAAACTCAATTTACACTGTTTTCCTTTTTTCCCTTCTTAAGGGTGTACTACTGCACGCTGCAGAGCAAATATTAGTTGTTTATTAATTAATTAATTTATTTATCCATTTATTAATCCATGTTGAAGAGAACATATTTTCTCTTGTGCTCAGCATTTATTGCTAGAAACATTTGTATGCAAATCATTTAAAGAGTAACTACATCCCACTACTTCAACTACACCTCACAACTCCACCCCTGGCTCAACTTTGAACAATGCTCAAAAATGGGAGGGGCACGCTGTGAGGGGCACTGCAATGATGTACGGGTTTGGAGGTGGGGCTGTGAGGGAAACCAGGTGGGCTGGCCTGCTGTGTTTTTAGAGCTAGCGTATGTTAGCTACCTGAAAATATGGTGAGTGACAGAATCAAACAGCACTTCTGCAACTGAGAGTCTTACGAGGCTGATGATTTTTCTCTACTACCATCCCCATCCTTGACGAGGGAAGGCATTTCTGATCAGGCAGTGCGTCTTGAACTCAGCATGAGTCACTGACTCAATCCACCGAAGAGTTAACATAGTGCCGGGAAATGAATGGTAGAACATTCCCTAAACCCATGACAGCAGGCTTCTAATGATCTGTTCAGCAGGTCCATATTCGATATAACTCGAGTCCTGATTTCTTAGATGCGCTGAATTCCAAATTTCTTTGAACTCTGTCTAAGTTTCACTCAGTTTGACATCAAGGTCACACAGACCGCATCACCGGTCAGCCAGTGTTTGCTGCAGTGGCCCTAAATCCTTACGTCCTGCAAGCCGTTCATGGTACTTGCCAAGGTTGCTTCCAATTCAGTTCCCACTCAAATTAACATTCCCCTTTATTAATCGAACACTTGGTCGTGCAAACTCACTGAACAGAAATCTGCTGTTTGGATGAAAGGTTGACACAGTCAGTAACAATGGCATTTAACGTTAACCTTTCCTGAACCGTTTTGCTTTCCATAGTTCCAGTGTTGCTTGCCGTTGATGTCTGTTCAGTGAGTGTGTGTGCCCGAGGGTCTGAGTTCTGAAAAGTGAAATGGACGCAAGACCAGCTTTATGGAGACTCGCAAGAATCCTCACTTAATCGTTCCAACATCTTTATGACAAACTGAGCTCAGATTAACTGTGTTATTTACAGTTGGTACAAACAGCCGGCATATCGCAGCCTTGTGAGGTGGTTCTGGGGGTATTTAGATCAGTGCGTGAGTGTGGTTACCTCCTCGCTCTGGGCTCCTATGCTTTCATATTTATGAGTGCGGCAGGAGTAGGGTGTCATCAGGGGACAGTAACGTTGTTTGACAGATTTACATACTGTGGTGTGTCATGGTACTTTGGTACGAAGACATGTCACCTGCACCTATAGCAGAGTTGAACCAGAGGGGCGCTGCAGAGGCAGAACTGACCACAATAAAAATGATCTTTTTACAGCTTGGAAAGATGTGCTCATGTTTTAAGGCTGGTATATTTTATTATTACAGAGCAGTGCATTTCAGCTGTTAATGTAAAAAAAAATTTCCACGACCATTTGTGATTTATTAATGACTCAGACACACTTCAAAGTTGCATACACATATTCAAACATGCACTTGTTTCTACAAATTAATTGTACACAAATGCTGAGAACTTTTTTTAAGAACAAATTTTGAATAATATTTAATTACGTTTTATAAATAAGGCACCTGGAGTCACAATGTCTACAGAGGAAATGCATCCATTTTAATTACTATCCAAATCACCAGTAAACCTACATGTGTCTTCTGAGTTTTTAAATAAAAAAAACATTTCTTTGGTAACTATTTTGCCTTTTGAAAACACACTAAATGTACCGCTTTACCAAGAATCCATAAAAAATGTTTATTCCAAAACCTTCTCAAAACTTTCGTAAAACAATGTGTCTGACATTAGCCTGCGTATTCATATCCACTTCATATAACAACCTTCTGTGATGTAGCTTTTAGAGGCATTAAACTCTTCAGATGTCTGGTTCTTATCACCACCACTGTGAACAATTCTGAATTTCTCTAGAATTACACATTTCACATCAAACCACTCTGATTTTTTATAATCAGTTATTATACAGAAATTTTGAAAAATGGTAGAAATTCCCTCTAACTTTTGCTGGTCCCAGTAAACCTGTTGGGCGAGGTTCCTGGGAGGCGGAAATTAGGATCAAATCTAATGAAACAGCCCAACAGTTTAAAAGTACTGAGACATAAATGATACACTGAAACACAAAATGTCAAACTACGCCCACTGCAGAAGTTATAGAATTGTCTTTGATTTAGGGCCTGGCAGCGTATCTAATATTTACAAAATATTAACAATCATTTTTTTGGCGATACAAAATTAGGCATCATGAAAATTGCAGTGGTCTTAAAACACCTCTTAATGTACATTTTAAGTGCATATATGTTCACGCAGTTAAGCTTCCCAGAGACAGTTGTGTGGCAGTCAGATGAGCCCTTCTTTTGTTGTGAAAAAACGTCATTCACCACCTCATACAGTATTTGATTATTTACTTCAAATTATGATTTAGACAGTCAGAAAATTAACTCTTTTAAGGAATACAGAAAGAGTGCTTGAATATCAAAAAATATATCATTCATTACCAAAAAGTGGAAAAATGTTGAGACATCCACTTTTATTGATAACGCTCAGCTCACCTTCAATTTCACTTTGACCACTAATGGTTGCTCTCAAAGTTTCCTTTCATCATGTGATTTGATATAAAAAGAAACCTTGTGGGTTTGATGTCTCTGTTAGACTGTTAGAAACAGAACTTTCTAAGTAACACAACACACAGGTCAACTCCCAGTGTGTGGCACAGGGCAGTGAATAACCAGCCTCATTCACCACCGCATGCCTGCCAGCTCAGCAATACATGCCAAACACAATCCCTACTGTATTTAAGAAACCTTCACACTCACCTCAGCTGGGAGATGTAGGGCAGACACTGAAGGAAACTCCTCAATTCACTCTCTTCATCTGACCAGCCTGTCAGCTTAACTGGTTTCTTCACTGTTTGGAGTTTCAGCACTTCTAGAAAGAGGGAGCTCTTTCTCTCTGAGAGGTTTATGATCCACACTGTGCAAAATTTGTTAAACAGTTACACCACAAAAAAGGAAAATGATCAATATACAACATTATTATTACAGAAAGTATGAAATAACACTCACCATTTAAAGAGACTTCTGTCTGCTCACTAGGTTTGCTCTTGTCTCCGTCTCTATATACAGCAGAGACTCTGACTCTGTAGCAGGTGCTGTAGGGGAGAGTTATGGTGTATTCACACTCAGGACCCTCTGTTAGAATGAACTGCCAGCCTTCTAGACCAGCCTCCATATACTCCACCATGTAGCAGAGGACAGGAGAGTCTCCATCAGCCTCAGCTCTCTGCCAGGAAACAGTGAGAGAGTCCTTACACTGTTTGTGCACTGTAGGCTGTCCAGGTCTGGCTCTAGAAGGTGTCTGGAACTCTGTGATTCTGCTATAGTCACTCATGCTGTTACTGTTCATTACAGCATATCTGAGCTGATACTGTGTCTCTGGTGTGAGACCTCTAATAACAACACTCTCTTCAGTATTACAGATGTCAATATTACTCCATTTCAAATAAACACGACTCCCTCCACTGCAGCTCACTGCTCTGTACTCTACTCTGCACCAGTGAAACACGTAAGACTCAGATCTTTGCAGCCTCATGGTAACAGATGTCTGTTTTATGATGATTATTTCTGGGAGCTCTGGCTTTAGCTCAAGGTTCATTTTTAACCTCACAATGTTACCAAACTGGTAGAGACATACAGAGGACCCAAGAAAGTGTGGCTTAGGTTCAGATGTAGCAATAAACTTGGTACGCTCTGCATCTTCATTTGTCTTTTTGCTGGACAAAAATAAATGAAGGTCGTTGCGGATTTTCTGACTGATATCAGGAAGCCTGAAACCCTTTGTCTCTTCTCTGTTCATCATGCTCTGTTTCAGAGCTGAAAGAAATGGATCTTCACCCTCCAGTGATGTGAGAGTGAAACACAGCACTCTGTCTGCTTGTGAATCTTCTATGACACGTTTCAAGTCCTTCTGTGATTTTACAAAGGTGATGTTAGCAGCTCTGCATTCATTCAAAGCCACAACTTCTGCGTCTTTGTTTAGGAGCCACTGATGCATGTTCTGTGGACTGAATGGTGATTGTGTGTTCTTCTTCAGAAGGTCTTGCAAATGCCTCTCTCCTTTCTCTCCTTTCTCTCGGATGGTTTTAATGCAGGAGGCTAGTCTTCTCTGAAAGTCAGACTGGTACTTCTGCAGAAGAGAAGAAAACTCTGAAAGAGCATCTTTTAAGTGTGGATACCATGAATTCACACCAAGATTAGAGTAAATTGACATCATATCCTGGCAAATGTTGATGTTCCTTTCTAGATGCTCCAGGACATCAACTGCATTGTCCAGTATGTCTTCCTTGATGCTGCCAAATACATAAGCGGATGTCTGATCCAGATTCTTCAGAGGGTAGAGCCACACTTTCAGAGGGACTGCTCTCTCATCTTGAGGTTCTAACAGCTTTTGGAGTGACCTAAATCGTTTTACTGCAGTATCAAAATCCTCCAGACTTTTGAAATCCTCTCCATCAGTGTAGAGAGCAAGTTCAAAGATACAGTTTGCTTTTTCAAGACTCAAGAGTAATTCATCTGCACTCTGGGAAAGAAAATTTTTCTTGACTTTATCTTTTAGTTTGACATTTCCCTCCCTGCTTTCATTCTTGTCATCAAACACTAAAAATGCTTGGGCCCCATACAGAACAGCCACAACCACATGTGTTGCTGAATTCTGATTGGTCATGGAGAGAGGAGGTCCACTCTGCAGCAGTCTGTGACTGAGCATGTCCAGCCTGGTGGAGGTTCTGTAGTGTAGAGTGACTCTGTCCTGCAGTTGGGACTGAGTGGGGTGCTTCAGATAAGCAGCAGCTCCAGCCACCTCCACCAGTCCTGATACAACACTAGCTCTCAGAGAAGTGGTCAGGTCCAGAGCTTTGAGTCTCTCCTGCAAAGATTTTCCCTCTACAATCCTTACATCCGTGTGGGGTCGAGGAAAAGACAGTCTCATAGAGGACAGAGTGTTGTCATCCCACAGAAAGGCATCTAAAAACATAAACAGAATAGTGTCACCCGGTATCATTGTTTGTGAACTGAAAAAAATAGATAAACATCCATTAATGCATTGAGATGTACAGAGCTGAAATTGATAAGTCGATAAAATTGATAAATTGATAAAATTTTCAATTATAACTGATATGCAATGATTATAATTAATTATATTAAAATGTAATAAAATATAAGCTCACTTTTTCCTTAAATTAAATACAGTATAGGATTCCAGTAAGTGGGAACACATGCCTACCTGAGTTGAAAGAATCATTGCGACAGTCATACAACGTCCCAAGCTCCAATATACGACCAAGTGCAGACACTTCAACAAAGTCTGAGGTGAAATTCAAAAATTATGCTGTTAGTATTTAATCATGGTAGTGTTTATAGACTGACATTTAAACATTTTGTACAAGTTTTGATGGAAAACTGCACTAAAATGACAGCATTAGAACTCACCATTAGCTCGCTCAAGTCGTCTGCATTCCATCAAGAAATCCAGCTCACTCTCAGCTCTCTGCAGTGTTTTAAGCAGAAAAAAAGTGCATTTGTTTATATCAATAACAGTGAGATAAGTGAATTTTCTTATTGTTTTATTTAACAGAATCACTGTATTGGAGGTTTGGGCTTGTACACTCACCTTAGCTCTCGCTGTAAGCTCTCTGTTGTCTTTTAGGAGTTGCTTCATGTGTTGCTCCATCTCACTTTCTCTTAATGCATTAAATGGGATCATAAGAGATGGCTCATCTTTACACTCCCCCATATTATAGACTTGAGCCCGGCTGACATTGATCACCATTGGATTTACTGATATCTGCAAAAAATACTGCCGATAAGTAGTGACTTTTTTAATGACTGCAGCATTACCAGGATTTAAACTTGTGATCTTCTTACAATGCTCCACTTAACAGCCTTATTAGTAGGACTGCAGTTAATTATGCTTTCCAAAATAAATTAATTGGTTTATTATGGCTTTGATTAGGCCTGGGTTCGATTCCCGGCCGGGTGACCAGGGTCGTTTCTGTGTGGAGTTTGCATGTTCTCCCCGTGTCTGCGTGGGTTTCCTCCGGGTACTCCGCTTTCCTCCCACAGTCCAAAAACATGCAGTCAGGCCAATTGGACATGCTGAATTGCCCCTAGGTGTGATTGTGTGTGAATGTGTATGTCTGTCTGTCTGCCCTGCGATGGACTGGCGACCTGTCCAGGGTGTAACCTGCCTTCCGCCCAATGACAGCTGGGATAGGCTCCAGCACCACACCGCGACCCAGAAGGATAAGCGGTTTAGATGATGGATGGATGGCTTTGATTAATTGATTTATCAGAAAAAGTGCACCGTTTGTCAATAACTAAATGTTTTAAGACATATACAATGTTTCTTTCAACAAAAAAATCATTCTCATTGTACACAATGTTCTTTCAAACTTAAAACACCTAATCTTCTAAAACACCTATCTTCTAAATTACATACACAAAAAAACACTTGTTTTTATGTGGGCTTGGGGCCACAACATGGCAAAAAAAAGTATGTTTTCAAAAATATCAATATATGTGTGGAGGAGAAAGTCCATTAGTGTACAAACAGAAAAAAGATCTTCCTTTCAGCCAACAATGTCTATTTTGCTCTGCTGGAGTCATGAATAACTCTGTATCATAGTCTCTGCTATCTGTATTTTTCCCTCATCAAGCCAAGATCTGATGGTGCAGCCCAACAAATAGCCACTTATTTAATAATGCAGTAAATAAATGGCGTCAAATGTCATTCACACCTAAGGTTTGTTGATAACTACTTATGTAAGGTAACTAGTTATGTTTAGGGTCACCAAAGGGCTCTTTTAATACTTCCAGCACATAATAAACTGGGGAGAAAAGATATTGTGTAGACAAGTCTCTCTTACCAATGTTACAGCTGTTGGCACTAGCTTTAGCTCATCTGAAAAAATAATCTTCTTCCCTCGCTAATACCTCCTCTTCATCAAATCCTCCCAAATTAACCTGCAATATCTGATAAAAATCTCTCTGCTCTTTTATGACCTAAATATTTTGAATAACAATATGTTTTCGAATGTTCTGCTCTGTGTCTGCAACTGTCACTTTTTGAAGCTAATCTAAAGCCATCATTGTTCACACCTTACCATGACTACAAGACTCGATCCCATCCTAGTAAGTTAAACAATTAGAGTTCAATTTGTTAAATGATGTATCATGTAGAAATTAATATGTATATTCCTTTAATTATCCAGACAACTTACTTTAAATGACTCTCGAGTACTGACTGTGCCATTTGTTTTGGTTAAACTGGAAACACAGTTTCCTGCTTTCAAAACTGACAGAAATGTGAAAGGGGCCCAATGCTTAGGTATAACACAGCCATACAGGCTGAACAGGTAAATCTGAACACAAAATGCCATCATGGTTAAAAAAACAAAAACATAATGTCATATGAGGATAACATGTTCTAACTCTAACCCTGAGAGGTCCTAACTTATTAAGAGAACCAAAAAATAAGAAGCGATTAATAGAAACCAAAACTGCAAAGAATTCTGGGTAGCCCACCCCACCAGTGGTATATTTATACTATTTTAGACTTTGAGTTTCTACAATTTATCTGAGTTAAATGTGACAGTTGAGACTCTTACAGAAAAAATCTGTGCAAACTTACAGTTAACAACTAACAACAATTGGTCAGTAAAGCTAAAACTGTTGGAGTATAAATTAGAATCTAAGATATAAACAAAAACAATAAAATTATACAAGCCTATAATGTTGGTTATCAGAATTTGAATCTCCTTAAAATCAGTATCAGTATCATATTTTTCTAATCTAACTGTGGCAGACTATGTTCAACAACACAACCCTGAAAAAGGCGCACACTGGTTACAAACAAAGCGAGGAATTCTCCAGTCATCAAGTGTTGCTGCTTTCACTCCTTTCTATGTTCAACAACCCACCTGAACAGGAGTCTCTTCACTCTTGGCCAGGACAGTATGGTGCTCTTTGTGCTCCTCCATTGTGCATATAAAACATATGACGGTCTGGTCAGTTTTGCAGAAGACCTCCAGAGCTCTGTGGTGCAGCTTGCAGAGTCTCTGTTCCAGCTCTCCAGTCACCTCCACCAGCGTGTGTCTCTGCAGAGCTGCTACTGTGTAGTGCTGCTTCACGTGGGTTTCACAGTAAGACGCAGGGCAGGTCAGACAGGACTTCACCGCTCTGAGCTTCCTCCCAGTGCAGAAATCACAGGCCACATCTCCAGGTCCAGCGTAGCAGAGAGCAGGAAGAGCAGGACTGAACCCAGCCTGCTGCAGCTTCTGAACCACTTTAGCCAGAGCTGAGTTTGGGTTCAGAGCAGGACGAGTTCTAAATCTCTTCCTACACTGAGGACAGCAGTAGCTGTTTTCTAAGGTTGGTTTGGACCAGAAGTTTTGGATGCAGGTCTTGCAGTAACTGTGTCCACATGGGATGGAGACTGGATCCTTCAGCACATCTGTACACACTGGACATCTGAAGTGATCTTCCGTCAACAGACTGGCCAACAACTCACTGTGTTTAATACGATTATAATGATCAGGGAACTCAACTCAAAAAAGATCAGTGAACTCAAAAAATTAAGTAGAATTTGATGTATGTCATGTCAGTACCTGATGTCTGGAGAGCAAGCTTCATCTCTTAATCTGATGTGCTGGTTCAAGGACAGGGAAGGGGATGGTATGTCCTCTGGCTTGATCCTGGGGATAAATATAAAACTGGTTTGCAGTACCATACCTGGTATAAGGTACTGTTAATAACTTACACGTTTTTTTCCTTGTTTAAACATAATTGACCTAAAATGGTTCATAGAAATGCAGGTAGGAGCTGGTGATGGGCACTCCTGCTTCAACCTTTACAATGAAAATATTATCCTATTAAAAACAAATTAGGGTTGAGCAGGTGTTAAATTACAGAATAATATGAGGTTAGTGCATATTAAAGGTTTCTCCAGCTAAGTACACCCCACCTTAATGTAAATAGGAAAGACAATCTGAGATTATATGAATGTTGTTAATTTATGTTCATCTTAGAATAAAGAAGTTGGGTTTCCAATTAATTTTTCACTTAGAAATGTGTCCATTTTTTAAAAAAAAGAAGTTTGCATACAACAAATGTAAACACACCCTTGTTTGAACATAATTGGTCGGTCCATTGAATGGTCAGATTTGAAAGATGCACATGTTGGAGCTGGAGATGCTGTTTCTGACTTCATTCTGTGTGAAAAAGCAAAAAGCTTTAAAATACAATACAGAACAAATACAATGGCAAAATATTACAGCCTGAGAATGTTTTGAAAGAAAAATATAATATTTTCTCATTACCAGTATTTTGTAATAATTTTGGTCTGAAATAGACATCAAGCATTAAAGAAATAGAGTCAAAAAGTGTCTGAAACCACATTAGAAAGTCTAGAAGGTATAAACACACCCATGTTTGAACATAATGGGCCGATCCATTGAATGGCCAGATTCATCAGATGCACATGTTGGAGCTGGAGATGCTGTTCCTGGATTCATTCTGTGTGAAAAATACAAATGCTTTTGCCATCCTATTAATAGTTACAAAATGTTACAGTCTAAGAATTATGCAAGAAAAACTGTTTAAAATAACAACAAAAAACAAACACAGCCTGAAAAGTGTATATAAAGAAAAACTTCACAACGTCTCAATACTGGTATTCTGGTCCGAAATACACACCATACATTAAAGCAATTGTTTGGTGAAAGATTTGTGCACAATAGTATGTTGTACAGCATTAAAAAAAACATAAGCAGTCTATTTGGGCTTACTTAACAACTCAGTATTGTTTGAGGTAAGTGTGTGATGATTTAAGCACGCAGTCTGCACAATGCTAAACAGCAGCCTAAACCATCATTACTTGTTTGTTACATTAGTCTTAAGAAGCAAACTTAAGACATCTAAACTTCAGACAAACTAAAGAAGCAAACTTTAAACATTAAACACATCTACATCCACTACATCCTGTGTACTCAACAAGATACAAAGAATCCCTTTGAAATGTATCAAGTTTAAGACAATGAAAATGTGTTTATTCAAATATAGTTATTTTTTGTGTGTAGACAGGGTTCTGATCTGAAGGGTATGAACAGACCTCTGTTTGAACATAATAGGTCGATCCATCGAATGGCCAGATGCATCAGATGCACATGTTGGAGCTGGAGATGCAGATCTTGGCTTCATTCTGTGAGAAAAATTAAAACGTTTTGGTTAAAGCCCAACCTCTTTTCACACTCTTTATTGATCCCCCAAGTCAATGGATTTGGCAAAATAAAAACATTTAGGGGATTAGGGGATTTTAAAGTTAAAGGGGATATTAAAACAAAATTGCATTATTTGCTAGTGATCTGCTATTGTATTTGAGAGATCAACTGGCTTATTTCTCTGAATTAATGAGGTCACTTAAAGTCTTTGGATCTTTAACAGACTTCAAAACATGTGTGCATAAAATACAGGTTATCATATATAATTACAACCCATCACATAAGATTATAAAAAAATGTAACTTAGATTGGCAATCAAAGTCAATGAAATATTTAGGAATTAATCAGCCTAAAAATATTAAAGACGTAAAATGCCAAAATTTAAGCTGATATAATGAGACGGAATATGATCCCTTTATTTGACATGGTATCCAGAACAGAATCAATAGAAACAAAGCATAATACCATGACATAATACCATCTTTTCCAGACCATGCCAGTAAAATGACCTCCAATGATTTATGGAATGCGACAAACTCACTTTAAGATATAGGGAAAGGCTGGAAACCAAAAATAAAATTGAAAAAACTTCAGCTGAAAAAAGAAAATGGTTGAATGGCATTACTACGCTCACATAAGATGAGTGACGTGTGGGTGCAATCCTCTTTACAAAGCTAGACATAGATATAGAAATTATGTTATCAGAGATATCTCAATCCAAGCAATGATAGCAGATAAAAGAGTAAATAAATATACGACAGAAAATGGTTAAATGGTTAAAGCTACCACTGAAAATATGGAATACTACTACTTTAGAAACACAACCTACACTATGTGGAGAAAATACTGAGATGGTGTTCATTTGATCTGGACATCGCAAGATAATCGATTCAAAATGTGGATGAGTAAAGGACTCTCAGTCTAAAGTTTAGGAATTTCCAAAACTTCCAAGCCTAAAAAGACTGTCATGGTCTTGAAACAACAGATTTTTTTTGATACCTCGAAGTGAGACAATGTTCTTACCACAAAATAAAACCAATAACAAATTTCAGAACCCCATGATAATAGTATTGTTAAATTATTTATATCCGTATTCACAAACACTTAAAAAAACCTGTCTCTGATTTGTATAAAAGGATTTAAAAATGTACACACTGACTCTGCCTTATATATTAAGGACAAATGGGAACATAAGTGTGGCATTAAGACTAGGAACACTGTCATGCTACTGGTGTAAAAAAAACGTCTTAATCAGGTGACGCATTTATGCTTGGTAATAAACAGAGCATCCAGGAAAGGCTGAGTCCTTTATGAGCAAGGATGGGTCTAAGCTTGCAACTTTGTCAAAAATATATCTGTAAATTATCCAACAGTTTAATAATAACATTCCTCAGTCAAGGACTGCAAAAGTTTTAGGTATTTCACCCTCTACAGTGCATAATATCATCAAAAGATTCAGAGGATCCAGAATAATCTCTGTACATAAAGGAAAGGGCGCAAATGAGTTCTTGTGATCTTCGACCCCTCAGATGAGCTTGTGTAGAAAAAATTTAATCACCTGTGATTGAACATGATAGGGCGGTCCATTGAATGGTCAGATTCGGCAGATGCACATGTTGGAGCTGGAGATGCTGTTTCTAGCTTCATTCTGTGTGAAAAAGCAAAATGTTTCAAAAATAGAACAAATACAATAACAGCATATTACAGCCTGAGAAATGTACTTAAAGAAAAATCTCAATATTGGTATTTTTTGTCTTAAAAACACATCAAGATAAGGATGTTTTCTATGCATTTTTCTTTCTTTTTCTGTTTTTTCTTTGATTTTTTTTTTGTAAAAATGCGAGTCAACTTTCTTAATGGCCCAAATGTTAAAGAAGCACTTTCATTTTAGTAGATGATGTTAATAGTAAAGGATACGTGTCCTTTCCAATACACATTTAAACAAAAACGTAAAGAAAAATAAACACATTTTAAAAATTAAACCTAACTGATGAAACTAATAGTTACATCTTATTGTCTGAGAAATATGTAGAAGAAATAATTCCATGACAGAACTTAGTCAGGAGTTCTCTTTCTTCAATCTTTTTGATGAATATGTTTTCTTGTTAGACATTATTTTAGTGCTGAGCTTGTCTATAAAAATATAGAATTATATAAAGTACATGCACATCAAAAGGTCTTTATCTGGTTTTATGGCTGTAAGTACAAGCCCACACTTTACCTAGGAAATGAGTATATAACACACTAAAACAATACATATTTATGTTTATTTCTCATCATTAAAATAAAGGAACTGAGTTTTTGTTTTTGGATGTGTGCTCATAGTGACATTAGCTTGTGTAGTACAAAAACGTAATCACCTCTGTTTGAACATGATAGGGCGGTCCATTGAATGGTCAGATTCGGCAGATGCACATGTTGGAGCTGGAGATGCTGTTTCTAGCTTCATTCTGAATGAAAAAGCAAAATCGTTGAAAACACAATACAGAACAAAAACAATGACAAAATATTACAGCCTGAGAAAAGCATATAAAAAAATATCAATATTGGTATTCTGTGTCTAAAAAAAACACATCAGCTTAAGGACATGTTTTCTACGCATTTTTGTCCTTGTTTTTCTCATTTTTCTCTTTGATTTTTTTGATTATGTAATGATGTAAAGATGTAAGTAAACTTTCTACCATTCTTAATGGCCCAAATGATAAAGAAGCACTTTCATTTAACTATATGATGTTAATGGTAGAGAATATATATGTCCTTTCCGATAAACATTTAAATAAAAATAGAAATAAAAATAAACAAATAAATAAAAATAATACCTAGCTGATGAAACTACTAGTTACAAAATGGTATGGTCTGACAAATATGTAGAAGGAATAATTCCATGACAGAACATAGTCAGGAGTTCTTTTTCGTCAATCTTTCTGATGAATTTGTTTTCTTATTAGACATTATTTTAGCGCTGAGCTTGTTCAAAGAAAACAGAATTACACAAAATAATAATTTACAGAATTACATAAAACAAGCACACATTCTACCTAGCGAGTGAGTATGTAATACACCGAAACAATACATGTTTATATTTAAAGGGAGTGAGTTTTTGTTTTTGGATGTGTGTCCATAGTGACACTAGCTTGTTTAGTAAAAAATGTAATCACCTCTGTTTGAACATGATAGGGCGGTCCATTGAATGGTCAGATTCGGCAGATGCACATGTTGGAGCTGGAGATGCTGTTTCTAGCTCCGTTCTGAGCAAAAAAGCAGAATATTTTAAAAATACAACACAGAACAAACACAATGACAACATATTACAGCCTGATAAATGCATATAAAGAAAAACCTTAATATTGGTATTTTGTGATTAAAACAGACACCATAGCTTCAGTCTGTAGGTGAAAAATCTAAATGTTTCAATTAAAAGCCAATCTATGAAACTAATAGTTACAGTCTAAGAAATATGCAAGAAATAAGCTGCTTTAAAAAAACAACAGACAATAAATACAGTGACAAAATATTACAGCCTGAGAAGTGTATATAAAGATGAAAGATTCTGGTCCGAAATAGACACCATACATTAAAGTCATATGTAAAAATTACACATCGTAGTATGTTACACAGCAAAAAACATGAGCAGCCCATTTGAGATTACTTAAAAACTCAATATATTTTAAGGCAAGTGTGTGATGATTTAGGCATGAAGTTTGCATGATGCTAAACAGGAGTCATAAGTCATCATTACTTGTTAGCTATATTACATAAAACAAATGCATATCAAAAGGTCTTTCTCTACCGGGTGGCTATAAGGAAAAGTACAAACTTCATCTAGGGAGTGAGTCTGTTTGAAATAAAATAGTGGGGTTAAGGTTCCATTTATTGAAGACTTGTCCATGAGTCCATATTGAAATAAATAATAGCTTGTGTAGTGAAAAGTGTAAACACACCCATGTTTGAACATAATGGGCCGATCCATTGAATGGCCAGATGCATCCGATGCACATGTTGGAGCTGGAGATGCAGATCTTGGCTTCATTCTGTGAGAAAAATCAAAACGTTTTGATTAAAACCCGACCTCTTTTCACACTCTTTATTGATCCCCCAAGTCTATGGATTTGGCAAAATAAAAACATTTAGGGGATTCGGGGATATTAAAGGGAAAGGACAGAAAATTGCATTATTTGCTAGTGATCTGCTATTGTGTTTGACAGATCCACTGGCTTATTTCTCTGAATTAATGAGGTCATTTAAAGTCTTTGGATCTTTTACAGACTTCAAAACATGTGTGCATAAAATACATCATATATAATTACAACCCATCACATAAGATTATAAAAAATTGGTATACACACCCATGTTTGAACATAATAGGCCGATCCATTGAATGGCCAGATGCATCCGATGCACATGTTGGAGCTGGAGATACAGATCCTGGCTTCATTCTGTGTGAAAAATCCAAATATTTGGAAAATACAACACAGAACCAAATACAACAGCAAAATATCATGATCTCTCAATATTTCAGTATCAAACTGCAAATCAGTAATTTGCAATACTTTTGATCTGACATGAACACCATATGTTAAAGCAATAATTTGGCAAAAAGTATGTCATACTATTAGAAACCACTGTACCACTGTATTGTGCTTTTACCTTTGGCGAACTTTGTGTAAGAAAATGGCAGAAGCCCTCACTGTGGAATATGTGGTTAATATGTGTAGATGAGATGGAATAGAGCAAAAACAAAAAAATAAACTCACACTATAACATAATTAAATCTGAAAATAAAAGCAAGATTTTCAATTCATCAGCCAATGTTAAACCATCAATCTAAAAACAAATGCTAAATAGGGCTAAGGAGATTACAGTGGCCTAACAACTCAACACACCAAAAAACAGATCAGACTCTGTCTTTCTGTCACTCTAACACCATTAACTCAAGCTCACTTGGTCAGATTTGAGTCACTATCCTGAAGTTTCAAATAAAAGTTGATAAAGATAATCTGCCTACACCTTACACAAAAAAACAGTGATTTATGATTAGCCTTTTTTCATGTCAGTCAAATCCTTTGTCAAAGACATCTCAGTAGCCACAGACTGAGCTGTCAAGACTCTGTAACTGTGTGTATTAAAGCTCTCATTTGAGGTGACAACGACAGTTTTGATTGCTTAATGCTTTTCCTACTGCTCTGCACTGCTAGCTAGCATGCTCTCTACTGCATTTATTTCCAAGAATAAACAACGGTATGCTTGTCAGCGAGCTCTCTATCTGAAGCAGAAACATACACTCCCAATTCCCAAAAAGTTGAGACTGTAGGTAAAATGCAAATAAAAACAGAAAGCAATGATTAATGAATCTACTTTGACCTGTATTTGAACAAACAGAATAAAGACCAGATTCATGTTTAACCTTATCAACTTCATTGTTTTTGGTAAATATACACTAATTCTGAAATTGATGCCTGCAGTATGTTCCAAAAAAGTTGGGACAGGGGCAATTTAAGACGAGGACTTTGTAAAATGCTCAAAAACATCTTAAACAGGGGATGCAACCATGCTTGGGTATAAAAAGAGCATCCAAGAAAGGAAGAGTACTTTATAAGCGAAGATGGGTTGTGGCTCAACACATTGCCAAAAATGCATCAGCAAAAAAATCCAACAATTTACAAATAACATTCCTCAGCCAAGGACTGTAAGGATTTTAGGTATTTCACTGTCCTCAATGCAAAATATTATCCAAGAAAAGGCTGAACAACTCAAATAATCCCCAATCCCTCAAACAAGACTGCATTCAAAACCTGCATGTTTCTGTGATGGATATCATCACATTGGCTTGGGAATACTTTGGAAAACCACTGTCAATAAACACCGGTCATCGCTGCATCCATAAATATAAGTTAAGACTGTACTGTGCACAGAAAAAGTGATGTGTCAAAAGTGTCCAGACATGATGCCAACTTCTCTGGGATCGAGTTCATCTGAAATGCACTGATGCACAGTGGAAATGTGGATTGCGGTCTGACGAGTCAACCTTTCAGATGGTTTATGGGAACAATAGATGTCATATTCTCTATACCACATAAGAAAAGAACTATCCAGATTATTACTAGCTTATGGTTCATAAACCAGGTCTAGCGTGGAATCGGGGGAATTAGTGGGTAACTCGCACATCTGTGAAAGCACTATGAACACTAAACAAATTTTGGATCAACATATTCTGCCTTCTAGGTGCCGTGTTTTTCACGGACACCCATTGCAACATGACAGCGCCAAGCCACTTTCTGCATGTGTTACAACAACAATTAGAGAGTCTGGCCTTCCTGCAGTCTAGAATCCACTGAAAACATAAAAAAACGACAACGAAGGACGCATATGACTGCACAATTATACCTGTATAACAGAACAATGGCAAAAAACTATGCTCTCAAAACTTGAATGGCTTGTGTTTTCAGTCCCCAAATGATTATTAAGTTTTGTTTTATGGAAAAGTTATTAAATATAGTTGCAATCATACTTTGGTCCCAACTTTTTTGAAATGTGTTGAAGGCATCAATTTTGGAAAGAAAATGACAATTACACAAGTGGCTCTGTGCTTCACCAATGACATGGTCATATCTATATACAGTCAACTACCAGTGATCTCTTATGAGAGACCTCTAACTAGAACATTCACAGGTCATTTCTGATAGTAGATTTTAAACTTTTTTTAAATTGTCTCATTGAAAAACACTTCATAGCTCAATTAAGATGTACAGCAACAAGTTTCCTATTCTAACAATGAAACTAAGTTTTTGTAAAGGAATTTGGTTTGAAATGGGCTTTATAGGCAACAATACGTCTTAACATTGCCAAGATACTGATTGTGTTGATGACAACATTTAGGTATGACACCATATTTTGTAATAGGAAAAATCTTTAGTCAAAACATTTAGCTTATATCTCTGATATAGGTGCCCAACACCACTCCTGATGATCTACCACCTCTGAAAGCTTAGTCACAACACCTGAAGCACTTCTGTTTCACAGCAACCTAGTTAGGACCAGACAGTGCTGTGTAACCAAGTGCCTCACAAATAAATATCATCCTTTCTACATCCTTTGCAAATTTTGGGGAATTTTATTCACAGGTTTCTATATCTCGCCAGATGCTAATGCTAACACTGCACTGGACAACCTGTATGCAGAATTTCTAAACAGGAAAACTGCAACCAAGATGCACTGTTATTTATATGATATGGTGCGCTGTGCATTGCCAGCTGAACAGAACTCCTAATCACTGCATAATTTAATCTAAGACCTCGCCCTGACTGTGATTGGTCCTCTGCACAAAGCAAAGTTCGAGCAACTCTGAGACATACACTGGTTTCTCTATTAGAACACATACAAGAGTATGTTTGGTTACTTTGATTTTGATTTTTTTATCAAGTGAAGTGTACTGCTTGCATAAGTGTTTTGAATCTGTTCTTTTCAAAAATCAGTCAAACCAATTCAAACCAAGTCCCAAATTAATCCAAATTTTTGTAGCATTTATGCAATGTTTATGTTTGTCTCATAAGCTAAAAAGGTTGTAATTAAATTCTAATATCACTTTTCACAATGTATGACATGATATATGAAGAACAATCTCTTGGAGTTCACTTACTTTTTCTGTTAGTAGACTGTAGTCAGCTTCAGTCAGTGTTGCAGACATGAAAACTCATGAGCAGTGAAAAAGGTGACCAGCTCAGAAACCAATCAAGTAGCCAGCCGCATAATTCCTAAGAGAAATTTTTACATATAAATATACAAAAATTCTGGGGCACTCTGACACTGAAATAAAATTGCTGGAAAATTACTTAGTTCACTTAGTACAACAGATATTGTACTGGTTCGTTTTCAAACTTTGAAACTTTTTTTTTTTAAAGTATTTTGATTTATTTATTAAACAGATTTATTTATTAAACATCTGGTGCTTACCACAGCAAGTAGTAACATACCGATGCTGACCCATTAAATGAAACATATATCGGCCAGATGTGTCAGATACACATTTGATATCATCTGTGATGCTGCGTTCACATGTTTGCGGTAGATGGACAATGGCAAATCAGATGCTCCATTGTATTCAATGGAGCCGCAATGGAAAAGTCTGCCACCACCAGTGACAACACTCCACAGACCTCTGCGGTGAGCACAAAGATTTCCAACTTTTGCCATTGACTGTAGTGGTGAAATAAACCAGATGTAGATTTTTTGGGGAGCCATGGACACCAAACAACTTGTGGTTGAATTCCAAACAAATTCCAGAGTATTACACAACAAAACATCACCACTGCTAAAGCACTCCTTTGACAATCATCCATTTTTGCCTGAATCACGGTAAGCATGGCGATATTTGAGTGTCTTAATTCTGTCTTTGTCTGCTATGAGGTGTGGATTTATGTTTTTTAACGCAAACATGTGAAAGCAGGTTTATAAAAAGTTACAATTAAACTAAATTTGAATAATGTGGTTAAATGTGAGTTGAACCGTAAGGGTGCCTCAATTTAAACATCAGCTAACAAGACAAGCAGCAACACCCATGTTGGCTCACTTTTTCTTTCAATATTTAGATTTTACACCTTTACTGTTGCATGGAATAGCTCACACTGGAATTATAATTGCTGTTTATTTTGCTGTTGCATTACCCAAAAGCATAACAAGAATGACACAATAAAGTCTTACTTCAAGTAAGACTTCATTCTTGTTTTCATTCTTATTTTTCATTGTTATTACACTTTTGCTCTAGTTACAGCCTCATGAAAAAAAGCACTGATATCGGATTGGTGATTTCTATTGGCCAATAAACAAAGTTCAGATATTGGAATTGGTATCGTAAGAGAAAAATTGGGATGTGTATGAACACGGAGGTTAGAGCTGCCATCATACCGTATGCCCCGGTGAAATGTCAGAAAGATATCAAGGTATGAAAAAATCAATACCGCCCATGTCTAATGAAGGTGAAAACATATTGGCTTTCTCATAGACACTTCCCTTTAAATATTTTAGGTTAACAGGCTAAGACATGCTTTAGGTTAACAGGCTATGAGAAAAAAACAAATATGAGTAAGACACCTAAAATGTCAACTTTGTTCTATATGATTTCATTAATTGTACTACGTAGCTTGTTTTATTCTATACAGTACTATTGTTATTATTAAGTATACTACATACTATTATTATCATTATTATTATTATCACTATTATTATTATTATTACTGCAAAAGCAATAGTAACAACCCTTTAACAAAACAAAATCATTCAACAAGTGCAAACGATTATTAGACATTATGTAACTCGGATGAACTGCAAAACAAACATACAAACTCATCTGCAGCAACACTGCTAAAAATGTAGCCTAACTTTAGCTAACAATCACTATAGCTAGCGCATAATGCTAATGCCAGATAGCCACTGAAACTCCAGTTAACAAGTACAGTATAGTGAAAATCTAACTAAATAATATTTCTTAAGGAATCTAGCACCAATGCCCCTTTTTAGGATTTTCTTTTTTGTGCTACCTAAACAAAATTTATTTTTGTTCCAGTTTATTTCTCCTAACTGTGCATAGAAAACATGATCTAACAAAGGTAGACTCACTTTACTGTGTATCATGCCCAATTACACCTCTAAATCACTGTCACACAGTGTAGTCAAATTTATATCAGTCTGATTCAAGTTAATATAATAATAAAATAATAATAATAAAAAAATATTATTCAAATTAATCGAAAGCCCATCAACATGGTTTCAAATGTTTACAAATATGTTTTAATAGTAACAATATATGCCTCAGAACAAACATTTAGCAATGTTATATTTAAGAGATGAATCCAGTTAGATAGTAGTAAATAGTAGACAAATGCTCCAAAAATGTCAGGCTGCTGCCTGATCAGAACGGTTTAGGTGAGCCAGATTGCGAAATGACTGACTGTGGTGTCTCCCTGGTAATGTAAACAATTATGTGTCGATGGCAACACAGCCAACAATGCTAAAAATGGTATGCATAGAAGGGAGTACCACTGTGGGGTTTTTTTTAGTTTGCTCCGTTTTGACGTGTGAACATTCCACCTGTATTCCGGTCTGCAACAAACAGCTGAAAAAACCCACGGGTCTCGGTTCGCTTCCAAGTGAACCCTGGCTAACAGATGAGACTTAAAGTAATCGCAAAAATCTGTGTTTTATTTTGGGTAACGGATCGTGGAGTGTATTTCTGGCTGAGTGGTTAAACTCAAATTGACAAACCAATGACAAATAAACAGATGTCAAGTAAGATTTATTGTTATTATTGATTGTGATGACAACTAATGCCCAGTGAGAGGAGTTTGGTCTGGCTATTTCAGATTAATCACAAAACTCTTAAAACTAAAGAGAAACCTCGAGACCAAACAATTACTCTTTTGAGAAAGCCACCTGAGTATTTTCAGTGAAAATACAATGGAGTACAGCTCCAAATCACAGTCCACATCTACCTTGTACATTTCTAATCTTTCTCTCACCACCTTTTTCTAAGAAAACCACATTCATATGTTTTTTTTAATGTTATGTTATGTTTTTTAACATGACTGCAAATTGAGTTTGCTTCATCATCAGACCTGAGGGTTTCACTTCAATGACAGTAGCTATGTTAACCAGTCAGCATGTATTTAAACCTCCACAACCTGACCACATGCCAGGTAAAGCTGAAAAGCTGAAAAGAGTCAGTACAAGAGGTGATGTGTCTAAGAGGGAATGATAATTGATGCCCCCCTGGAGAGATGAATTTTACTGGGTTTTACATGATGCTGACTGAGACTTAGTGATGATGATGGTAAAAAACTCTTTTACTGGGTAAGCTAATAACTATTTCTCACTCTCTCACTCTTGAATTAGAAAAGCTGGGAAAAAAATGTGATTTTATGCGAGTTATTCTCTCATTTTTTCTCTCTCTCTTTCTCTTACACATATATTCTAAATTGCTTATTACTAATAGTAACATTTTAATAAACTTATGCAGTAAAACAGTCATTTGCAACAAAGTTATTGATGTTTTTTTCCATATCCAGACTATGTGCCATAAGAAAAGTCACTTAAATAGTTTAATGTCAAGCCCTGAAATAAACACTTTTGGCTATGTCTCTTTGTTTAAACATTGTCATTTTATTATCTTTCACTAACTTGCTTTGCTTTAGCACTGAAAAGATAGGGACCTGCCAAAGCATAGAAAGCACAACCATTAGCTAACGCTACCTGGAAATGCCATGTTTTTTTAGCCTAATATCATGTCCGTTGTTAAGTTACTGTCATTTTTCTCTTGGTTTTATTCTAAACCGTGATAAGCTAAATAAGTCTTTAATTCTGAAAATTCAGCAGTAATTCGGGAATCTGCAAGAGTGTTCTAGAATTCCTGTTGGGTCTAAAGGGTTAAAAAAAACATTTTAGCGGCTGTTAACATTATTAACTCTGTTTGGTACTTTGGCAGAAAATTTACCTTGCATTTAGTCATATCCAATTCAAATTAGACTGAACAAAAGGAAGGAAAAAAATCACTAAAAAATTTCTCAACAGAAAAGCACAACATCACTCAGCTCACAGTAAATTCATCACAAGACCTATAGATGCTAATTAGAGAATAATCATGAGAATAAGCAGACCAGTGACCCTGTGTATAGTTTTGTTTCTGAACCAATTCAAGTCTTCAATATAATGACTTTTCTATATTAAGACGAATCAGTAAGCACAGTTTGTTTAATTTACATACAATTTTCATACAGGTATAACAACTCTGTCCAAGTCTGTACTAGATGGAAAGGGGCTTGAGGATGTTGTCACAAATAATGGTTTCTGTAATTGCTCTATGTTTATGGTCCTAATTTTAATCTTTTACCTTAGGTAAGCCTATACATGTGAGGTTATGTATGCTTGTATTAAAGCTGACCTGTTGATATCTATCACTATCTTTATTTTTGCTACCCTATCAGGTAATACTTCTATTCATTTACTTCATTATTCCATCTTTTGTGTTAGATTATTTTTTTAAATAATATATGATACAAATTTGATATTTTATAATGTTTATCATTAACAATAATTTTAATGAATAATATTATATAATATTATTATTATTACTATTAGTAATACTATTAGTATTCTTATTATTACAAGGACTATAGACTATGAAAATGTAATGAACATTATTATTATTACATTGTTATTATAATTTGTATTATTGTTATGACTATTATTAATAATAATCACAATAATAACAGAGCATGGGCATCACTTTTTGTCAAGCAAATTAGCGCCCTCTGGCGAATGTCAACAAAGAGCAAGGAAGTGCTTTGTGCAACAGAGTCTGGCTGCAGATATGCACTCTCAGCCAGATGCACTCTCAGCCCCAGTGACGTCACGTGCTCATGCACGCTCTGCCATAATGGTAGAAGCAGCCCAACGGCACGGTAACTTTTGCTGCTGTTGCTCAGCGATATCATCACTCAATCCATTTTTCGTCCATAACACGGCGAGAGAGTTACATTTAATGTACCTCCTAGTTGAAAAAAGTCATAGAACCCATTACAAGTGTCTGTTAGTTCCTGGTGGTTTTTAGTACTGGCTATTGGTATTCTGTGTTTTCCTGATGGCTTGATGTCACAGTGTAAAGGATTCTGATCGTTTAATCGGGTGTTTGATCGTTTAATCAGGTGTGACTGATTCCACATTCATTTGATTGTTTCCCAATGGCCTCTAATGGCAACCATCAAGCCAATTCCTGTTAGGAAGCAAAACCATCAGGTTTTATTCCTAACGGCTCTGCAAACACAGTTATTATTTGTGACTACTGTTTTGGTGCCCACAGTGTCGTCTGTTTGGTGCTTTTCTACAGTGTCACAACGTTGAAATGTAATTCCTCTTAAATGTAAAGTTATGAAAATGTTGTCTGACACCTTTGTGACAACCTCCTAGAGTCCTTAGTAAGTCTATTTTAATCGATATTACAGTTTTGATAACCGATTCTAACCGATTCATGACTTTCATGAGTTTCCGTAGCCTTTTTGTTTTTTCTGCAAATAAACCCGACATTCATGTCTTATTGTCCTGGTTTTACTGTGAACGTTTCTATATTTAATTGCCTTATTATCAGTATGGCCACGTTAATATACATTCAGTGTCACTCTTGTAGCCCAGCAGTTCGTGGTTCACTGCTTTTCTTCATAAAACCGACAAAAACACTGTCGTGGCAGAGCGTGCACTGACGTCATCAACAGGCTGGCGGTGCAGGTCGGGCTGAGAGTGACTGTCTGCAGCTAGACCCTTCTCGCTTTGTGAGCTGCGGCCTTGTCTGCTGCTCCACTGGGGCAAAAAACTTCGCAGACGGTATTGAAACACGCAGTCACTACATCGACTGAACACATTTTTACACCTACAGCTTTTCCAGCTTCAGTTTTACGTCTGTATATCTAATACACATGATCTAATAACGGTTCTCAAGAAAAAATGTCAAAATTTAACAAAAGAAAAACATCTGAAAAATCTTTGGTAAACAAACCAACAACTTTTTTACATCCCACGGCTGTTTACATCAAACTTTACAGCAGTAACTCACACAACATGACAGAAATTGGAGTTTATAACATTATGAAGTTTATCTGGGCGGGAAACCAAGCCTGTGAATGCGTTTCTACCTCATCGATTAAATGTTTATATGCAACTAACTTCGCTAACTTCCGCAAAGCTAAAGCTAACAGTTCGTCTTAGCTTGACGCTTTTTAAGGTGGAGTTGTTTAAAACCACGTTTTTTGGTGTTATTGTTGGCTACAATACACAGACTATCGAATTATATGAGGTAACACGATAAACGTCAAAGCTATAAAGCAAGAAATAAAAGGTTTTTTACTTACCGTGGGGCCAGGGCGGCCTGACGGCAGGCCTCGACTTATCTTCTGAAGTTTTACTTTCATTTTCATCTGGCCTTTACGGCCCGGGAGACTCACAGACCAATCGCATGCGTTGTGAACATCACACGTGACGCTACTCAGCCAATCAGATCTGTGCATTACGATAAGCACTGAGACTCGAGTGAGTGACGCGCACACAGGGGAGGGACGAGTTATTTCGCATGGCGTGCTCTAAAAAGAGAAAACTGACAAATACTGTTAAAATATTACTGAACTGTACTTTATTTGATTTGACATTCGGTTGTTGACTATAGGATGTTGATATACCTACTAGGCTACTTCACAGTACAGTATATGGCACTGAATCGTGATGCAAGTTAGACATTGTGATGTTCTGGACCTTTGCTTGAGGATATTTTGTCTAACTGGACTTTATTGAATTTTAATTAAATACCCCTGTGCTACATGCTCCTTCTCTAAATGAAACCCACACATTTAATATATTTAATTTAAATCTTTAACATATAAATCTTTGTCCTGAGTTCTGTCCATTCATATCACTAAAGAGGCACAACATGACAAAATGTCTTTTTGGAATACCTTCAGAGATGGTTTTATTCTAGCTTCACCCCAGTAGGGACTGGTCTCTGAACAGATGTAAAGCTGCACAATTTGGGATGTTGTGGAAAGGACACTGGGATGCTTTTAAGATTCAAATAAACTGGTTTTACAGCACTTTGTAATTTCAAATTATTTTTATTGTGTATGTGTGAAGGTTATTACTATCAGGGCAGATCAGGTGAAGGTTTTTGTTGTTTAATCTCATCCTGTCTTGCCCTGATTGCTGCAACAAATAACTCTATTTACATTTACATTTTACTGGAGAAAAAAGAATAAATGCAGTCTTGGTGCTGCAGTTCAAATGCAGTGAAATGGAATCAATCCAACTGTGGACACAGTGCATTTACGTTACTGCATTTATAATGGAATACTGAAGAAACTACAGTAATAATGTATTTCTTAATATTTTAGTATTGCTGCTGAGGCTGCCAAGGCTCTGCCCCTCTGAACTCTCAAACATTTGTACTTATTACAGTCACAAGCTTTAGCTAACGACTAATAGCAGCTAATCTATTACTGTTAGTTGTGAATGTATCTCTTACCTCTGTTTTACTGTCTTTATCTTTTTCTAGTTTTTGAGTCCACTAGATTTAGACATGCATATGTTTAACTAGTAAACTTGTAAGTTTATTTAGGAGCTCCTTTTTCTGCTGCTCTCTCTCAGCTGTACTGCTCTGCTCTACAGTAGTGCTGCACTACTGCTGTTACACTGAACTGTAGTTCTAACACACGGCACTACAGCAGTACTTGAGTCAAAATAATGGATTATTTTCTCAAGATTTTTTCGCTGTGGAAAAAAGTCATAGAAACTATTAAAAGTTTGTGATTCCTGGTGGTGTCCATTAGTCACTAATGATATGTAGTGTGTTCCTGATGAGTTGGTATCACAGTGTAAAGGATTCTAAAGGTATAACAGGTGTTCTGGGACTGATTCCAGATGCATTCGATGGTTTCCTAATGGGATCTAAAGGTGTCCTACAAGTTAGTGGTCTCTAATGTTAACTCAGTCACACAAAACCCTCAGGTTTTAAGTTTGATGGTTCTAATGGTCTTTTCCAGCAAGAATGTCTTAATTAATAATATTAATTATTAATCAGAATCAGAATCAAGCTTTATTGGCCAGGTATGCTTACACATACAATGGAATTTGGTTTTGGTTACAGGAGATCACAGTGCACAGTATCTGACAAATGTTTACATAAATAAAATAAAATAAAAAAAAACATGCATTCCTGCCATCACTCACTCACACACACACACATACACACACACACACACACACACACACACACACACACACATATACACACAGCCATACCTGTAAACCTTACACTGTGCATAGTATGTGTCTTAAGTTAAAGTGCTGAGTGCAGCAGCAGTTAAAGGGTGTATAGTGGCAAAGAAATGGAGACGTGAGATGACGTGAGATAAGGCAGATGCTAGAATAAACACTGGTCTGTGACAGTAGTTTCAGAGAATGGACTCTTGAGTGTGATAATATATACCAATATATTTAGAAGTGCAGTTTAGAGGCTGGAATATTGTTTATGTGTAATATTATAATTGTTCAAGAGAGTGATGACTTGTGGGAAGAAGCTTCTCTGTAGCCTGCATGTCCTGATCCTCATTTGGCTGAAGCGCTGGCCTGAGGGAAGGGGCTGGAACAGGTGGTGGCCGGGGTGTGATGATTAATTAATTAATTAATAAAATCATAATAATTACTGTGTTAATATTTAAACTAATTATGTAAAAATAACATCTATTCTTGAAATTATGACAGATTATGTCGACATAATTGCTTGTTTTCTCAATATTTTCACAGTGAGTGTGTTTACAAATAATCTGATAACTGCAGAAAATCTGATTTTGTCAGTAATCCAATCAACACGTTTACATGTACTTGGATAATCAGACAATGGGGAAACTCTGGGTCTACATGAGGCAGTTATCAGATTTCTGCTTTGCAACCAGCCAATAAACTCACAGAAGAAGATGTGGCATAAACGTAGAACTCAAATTTTGTGCCTGGGCTTTTTTTTCACACATCCAGTCACTTTACCTGAAACTATGAACATGAACTATATGAACAAACTATGAACATACAACATCTAGAAGATGAAGAATATTTAAATTCAAGCATGTATTAATATTACACATAAACAATATTCCAACTTCTAAACTGCACTTCTAAATATTTTGGTATATATTATCACACTTAACAGTCCATCCTCGGAAACTACCGTCACAGACCAGCATTTCTTCTAGCATCTCCCTTACCTGCCTTATTATCCCACTTATCTGACTCTTAGTTCACGTCTTCCTTTCTTTGCCACTATACACCCTTTAACTGCTGTTGCACTCAGCACTTTAACTTTAGACTCATACTTTGCACATCGTAAGATTTACAGGTACGACTGTGTGTGTGTGTGTGTGTATGTGTGTATTTGTGTGTATGAGTGTGCGATTGTTGGAATGCATGTTTTTTTTTTAATTTTATTTATGTAAACATTTGTCAGATACTGTGCACTGTGAGCTCCTGTAACCAAAACCAAATTCCTTCCATGTGTAAACATACCTGGCCAATAAAGCTTGATTCTGATTAATAATTAATATTATTAATTAAGACATTCTTGCTGGAAAAAAGACCATCATTAAACTCACACATGTATGAATGACCACAGAAGCTGATTCATGTTTGACAGTTAATGATGTGCTCAGACTGATTTAGTTGACCAGGTGTGGAGCTCTGCTGGCCATATAAATAAAAAGAATTTGTAGCCACTACTTAGTAAGGTGTGGGAACCAGATCCTAATGGGTGGCCACGACTTAGTAAGGTGTGGGAACAAGATCTTAATGCATGGCCACGGCTTACTAAGTCTTTGCCATGACTTAATTATCTCACCTTACCAAGTCTGGCCATTTGTTAGCATTTTGACTGATTCTGTCAAAATAATGGTTCATTTTCTCGGGATTTTGACTGATTATGTCCGAATAAAGGCTTATTTTCACAAGATTTTTATTGATTATGTCAAAATAATGGTTGATTTTCTCGATAGTTTGACTGATTATGTTGGAATAAAGGCTTATTTTCACGAGATTTTGATTGATTATGTCAGAATAATGGTTTATTTAATGAAATGTTGACTGATTATGTCGGCATAATGATTAATTTTCTCGATATTTTGACTATGTCAGGATAAAGGCTTATTTTCTTGAGATTTTGACTGATTATGTCGGAATAATGGTCTATTTTCTCTCGAGATTTTCAGTGTCGGAACAATGGTTTATTTCCTCGAGATTTTGATGGATTATGTCGAAATAAAGGCTTATTTTCCCGAGATTTTGACTAATTATGTTGAAATAAACACTCTAAAATATATGTTAAAACATTCTGTCTCTAACTGACGCATCAGTGTGTTCAGCTGGAGACAGCATACCTTTAACACAGAATGCGTTGAAATATTTCTGTGCCCACTTACAGATCAAAATAATTGCTTATTTTCCCAATATTTTGGCTGTTATACTGTGGTGTTATGTCGGAATGATGGCTGATCGTGTGGAAATGGTTTATTCTGTACAGGACACAGAGGCTGCGTTCAGACGGCAGAGCGTGTCTGTGAGTTCCGCTCGTGATGTGTCAGTTTGGACCGTCTAAAAATGAGAGTCAAACTGAACCGGACAGCACAGACTGTTCTGTTCCACAGTGCTGAGCTTAAAGCTGCTGAAGCTTTATCTCTCTGAATTTCTCCAGAAGAACCGCAGGAAATGCTCGCTTCTGTGGTCACTTAGAGTCATGTGTGATGTTGCGCGTAACTTCCTGCCTGTGTCACCGCCCACACACACTCGCTCACTCCCCACTAAACTCGTCACAGGGGATTCCTCGTGGTATATTTGCATTACTGAATTAGTTTAAACTGCACTCCTACAGTAAAATCACTATCAGTTAGGTATTCTGACTATAGATATTTATAGAGATTATGCTATGATCTATTTAGAGCCAAGACATTAATTGAGTAATAAGCTAAATATATACAAAATCATCATTTCTAGGTTACTTTCTATTAGGAGGTGACTGTCCCAAACGCTAACCCTCAAATTTACACTTACAAAAATAATACTTACATTTTTATTTATATCAATGTTTTTAGGTGAGATTTAGATTCATCATTTAGATTTAGAGTTTAATTTTGAAATAAAAAATTTAATTAACAAAACGCTGTTCCATGCTTTCATGTTACTACTGAAACAGAGTTTTAGTCTGTAGGCGGAGCCTTTTTTTTAGTCACGCCCCTGCATTTTAGAGCAGAAAGTGAATCTGCCTCCCTCATCATCCACATGGTGAGCAGTTAGATCTCATTGTTTTAAAGTAAATGTGCCCACAAGTCTGAAAATCAGTGTGGAACATTAAGAATTGTCACTTTCTCTGCAATGTAACAGTAAATGTCTTTTGTG